GAGACGCCGATTTTTTAGTTTGTTCATTAAAAAAATGGCCGTTCAAACTACAAAAATATCAATACACTCTCAAGTATTCAAAACATAAAAAAATTTATTTAAAATATTTTAATATTTTACAGTTTAAACTATAAAAAAATATAATACAATTCAAACTAAATGTTCATCTTATTTTCAAAAAATTAAGAAAAAAACAAAAAAAATCTTAATTCATGCTTTAAAATAAAATATTTTATTTTTTAATAAATATTTATTAAAATAATTTAATTTTAAAATAATATTCTTCCCAACCTTTAAAAAATAAAATAAATAAATACTATTTCCTATATATATATATATATTTGTTACTGGTATTATCATTATTAGTTTGGATTGTCATTATTTGGACAACTGAAAAAATTCAAGGCAAGTTGGGCTGGATGAGGCTCTTAATTGATAAGACCATTGTAGGCCCATATTGGAGGCCTGGAAGTAAAGGCAATATTAATATGAAACGACGCCGTTATCAAGCCATAAACCGGATTCTCAACGAGCGACGGCTTCCCATAAAAACCCGTAGTTTTGCGGCTTTTGCCGTTGCCAAGGCAGTTGGAAAAGTGTATCTTCCAGAAGTAACAGTCGAGAGAAGGCAGACCTTATGACGAGTTCATGCTTCTGTTCTCTGATTCGTCCCTCACTTTCAATTCACGACCTCAGATTTCCATGCAATTCAAACTCTAATCGCCTAATTTTTCCTGTTGTTTTCGCTCCACACACCAAGAAGTCATCCAGATTCGTCATCAGAGTTCCACAAGGTCTGGAAGTCGATCACATTCCTTTGCAAGTTCCGGTGACTGAGGCCAAGGAAGAGGAAGGAGAGGTTGGTGGATTCGTCAATGGCGTCGCAGCTGCCGAATCAGAGCCCACGCCTGTTAAAGTTAAGAAGAAGAGAGATGAGGTTGATGACGATGACAGTTTGGAGAGCAGGTTCAAGCTCAGGAATGGAAGGGAGGTTAGTTTTTGGGATGATTTGTTCTTTTTATTTTGCTAATTTCTGTTTTAGGTGGAAATTAGATTCATTTTGTGTTTGATTCTGCAGGTATTTGAAGAAAAAGCTTATCTAGTGGGCGTAGAGCGGAAAGGCGATAGAGAGGATTCTTTTGGTATTGAAGAATCACTCAAGGAGCTGTCTCAGCTCGCTGACACAGCTGGCCTTATGGTTGTTGGTTCTACTTATCAGAAGTGAGTGTTTAATGTTTTTCATGGTAATAACTTTTTTTAGCTGTGAAAAGTTTATGCAAATGCTCAAAGAATGAAAGGAACTTGGGTAAGTGACTGGTGTGTTGAAGGGCTGGCTCAATAATACTAGGTTAGATTTTATGTCACATCTTGTCGTATGCTTTTCTTCCTCCTTAAAAGGAAATTGGTTTAGTTGTTGGCTTTAGGAAGCATCAGCTGTTCATCTTGTTATCTGGTACAGACTAGCTTCTCCAAACCCTAGGACATACATAGGATCGGGGAAGGTTGCAGAAATCAAGACTGCAATTGATGCACTGGATGTTGAGACTGTAATTTTTGATGATGAGCTGTCTCCGGGGTAAGGTTTGTGATTGATTAATGTTGCATAATTTCAAGAAAAATCATTTGAAATTTTAACTATTTTGACCTTATGAAATTTATATTCTTGTATTCTGTATCTTTGTCAATTTGGGTGTTATAAGGAACCTTGAGGATTCCATACATCCTGGTCTGTCTTTTATCTTTAACATTTTGTATTAGCCATCTTAATCATTAACATTTTTCATGCAAAATATCTTATAAGTACAGACAATTGCGCAATTTAGAAAAGGGCTTTGGTGGGGATGTTAGAGTTTGTGACCGCACTGCTCTTATCCTGGATATCTTTGACCAGCGAGCGGCAACGCACGAAGCATCTTTGCAGGCAAGTTTATTCTATGCTTTCAATTAAAGAATCTATTTGTATACATTGAGTTGTGGGAATCTTAACTGTTTTTTCCTCTTTTTAGGTGGCATTGGCACAAATGGAATACCAATTACCACGTCTAACTAGAATGTGGACTCACCTTGAACGTCAAGCAGGTGGCCAGGTTAAGGGTATGGGTGAGAAACAAATTGAAGTGGACAAGCGAATCTTACGTACTCAAGTAGGCAACATCCTTTTGCAGCTTTTAGCTGATAAACTGCTACTGTTTTTAGCTTAGAAATTGCTCCAAAATTGAAATTCTGTTTCTTGGACTAAAGCTGAGATTTATGTCTTTTGTTAACCCTGTGTTCCTTTTATGTTTTATGTTGTCCTGTAATATTTTCTCTGATGGGGTTCTTGTTTTCTTTTTTCTTTTCTTTTCTTTTTTTTCCCTTGTAATATATGGATATTTGCTTGGCCTGAATCTTCAACATACTCTGCTTTGCTAGATTGGTGTTATAAAAAAAGAGCTTGAATCTGTTAGGAAACATCGAAAGCAGTACAGAAATCATCGTTTTGCTGTTCCTGTTCCTGTTGTGTCATTGGTAGGTCAACTGATTTCTGGTTTTTCTAACTTAGAATGACAGTCCACTTTCATGATTGCTACCTGTCTGGACATGTAACCCATTTGAAAGCATTTTAGGTTGGATATACAAATGCTGGCAAGAGTACACTTCTAAATCAATTGACTGGAGCTAATGTTCTTTCTGAGGATCGATTATTTGCAACCCTTGATCCAACTACAAGAAGGGTTCAGGTTAGTATATGTGTAAAGGAACCTCTTTTAAAACTTTTCTTTAAGTTAAATTTTTTTATAATTTAGTAGTCAGGGAATCAGGCTTAAATGGCATTTTTCTTTTACGCAGAAGGCAATAGTTTTTGGCTTGTATGAAGTTCCCCTCTATGAGATACCTAACTTAATTCTTTCACTGATGATTATTGCCTTCTCATGTTTAAAATTTAAAGTACAAGGCTAACTAAGACTTGCTAGAAAAAAAAAATGAGAGCATGGGCATGAGGTCATGTGGCATAATGAGGAGCTTTTAAACTTTCACTGATATGCTGGTCTTGGATCAAACATTTCCAGGACCTGATTTGCTGCTTCGTAGAATCAATGGAATTTGTCATTGAAATGAGTTTGTGCAGTCTGGTTATGTTGGTTGTGGTAACATCAGATACTTGTTTCTGTTTTATGCTGTCCAGATGAAGAATGGAAGTGAATTTCTTCTTACAGATACTGTTGGTTTCATCCAAAAGTTACCAACTACGCTGGTGAGGCCCTACATGATTTAGAGATGAATTTGTTACAAATAGTTGCTTCCACATTATGTTCAAAGTATATTTCCTTATTGTAGGTTGCTGCCTTTAGTGCAACTTTGGAAGAGATAGCAGAGTCATCACTTTTGGTGCATGTGGTGGATATCAGGTATATTCAACCCATGGGTGAATTTTAGTAGTTCCTTTTTATCAAAATTATTTCATAATTTTCTTTGTGAAGTTCAGCCACCCCCTAGCAGAGGAACAGATAGATGCCGTGGAAAAAGTTCTATCAGAATTAGATGTGTCATCAATTCCGAAGTTAATGGTCTGGAACAAGGTACTGTGATATTATTTGAAATGAAAGCAGAGAGATATTTTTTTTCTTTATTTAGATCTCAAAGTTGGTGAAAACAAAAATTTGATTTCTATATTTTTAATGTTTACAGAAAGAGCGTTCCTGCATGGACCTTCCTAACTACCATGTGATTTTAGATAAATGAGCATGTAGCAGCTTACTTACTCTATAGATGCTGCTTGTTTCTATAGTGACATTTGTATTGATTTTGATGCTCAATTATGAAACGTAAAATGATGTTAAAGTTCATTTGGACCATATACCATTCTATGTGTACAAGATGCTAAAGTTCATTCCTTAAAATGAGGCTGGGAATGAGAAACTGTTGCTGTTTTGGCAGATTGACAGGGTCAGTGATGCACAAAGGATCAAATTGGAAGCAAAAAAAAGTGAAGATGTTGTTTGCATATCTGCTTTGACGGGTGATGGTTTACAGGAATTTTGCCATGCCGTTCAGGAAAAATTAAAGGTACTGAGTGGAGATAATTAATACCGTTGATTACCGAGCTGGACCTCCCTGTTGTACTTACTGAGGAATCTCCTGTGTAACAGGACTCTATGGTTTCTGTGGAAGCTTTGATCCCATTCAACAAAGGGGATCTTCTGAGTACCATACATCAAGTTGGAATGGTAGAGAAAACTGTAAGTACTGCCAAATCTTTAAGTAATATAATTTTATCCAATTCATGGTGATAATATTATCTGTTTCTCAAATATTTTCCACTTAATTGGCAGGAATACACAGAGGATGGGACATTGGTCAAGGCATTTGTCCCTCTTCGTTTTGCAAGATTACTTGCACCAATGAGGCAGCTGTGTAGATCATAGTCTTGTTTTTGAACCTTTTTACTGTAAGTGTTGTTAAAATTCTTCATCATGTATATATATATGATCTCAAGAAAAAATTAACTTTTTGTTTTATTTGGGGGTTGTGGATGAGTGGATATTTGATATAATTCCTTCTGTACTATCCAAAGTCCGCAGGCCAATGTATAAAGGAAACGAAAGCTTGTGTTGTTCAAGATGTAAGGCACCTAGACAGTAATCAATGAAATTCCAATTTTCTCCTTCCTCTTTTGATATTTATGATCTGCTTCACTATAGAATTCACACACTTGATGTGTCTTGGCATATGCTCGTAGATCCCTAGCCTTTGATAATTGTGGTTCAATCAAAAGGTAGTATGTAGATGTTGGTGCAAGATAAGAACAAATGCTGGGCAGGAGCCACATAGTGAATTAGGGCACCTACCTCCAAGTTAATTATCAATGTCTTTGGTTCGATGGAATTGGCTAGGCTCAGTTCCTTTTCTTTAATGTGAGCTCAGATGTACCTTGACGCGGCGTTAGTAGCAAGTAAGCTGCTTGATTCCTTGAATGGGTCAACTTGCCATCGCTGCCTTGAAATTCTGGTTTTTGATGTTGTACTGTATTGCTTACTTTCCAAAAGTGGATTTAACTTTTGACTGTGGTGGGAAGCCAGCTCTATAAGTAAACTCGTACTTGGAGCAGGTGAAACCATAATCTCCTTTCCCCGTCATTTCTACAACTCCATTACCAAAATGGGATGTGGAAACGAGTTGGCATGGTCATATGTAATCCACGTTAGGTGATTCATAGAGGATTTAGTAAGGAGAGCAGTTGATTTTCAGAGCTCTTGCTAGCATAAATCCCAGGGACAACTAGTGAGTTCTTCACCGCTAATACTAACTCATCAATGGCTTTCTTCACGGTTAATCTAGGTTTCCTAATAACGGTTTTCCTTTCGGCCACGTTCTCCAGAGCTCATCCTGGTCTTGGGTTTGGCTGGGGTGGAGGAAGCGGAACTGGTGGGCATGGCCAATTTGGTGGCGGAGCAGTTGGTCTTTTTCCTCAGTTCTATCAGTTCTCTTGCCCTCAAGTCAATGACATTGTGATGTCAGTGCTGGAGAAGGCCATTGCAAGAGATCCTAGGATGGCTGCGTCTTTGCTCCGGCTTCACTTCCACGACTGCTTTGTCCAGGTTTCTTCCCACATCAAACAACTAAGTAATGGTTACCTTTTCTTTTACAAATTAGCCCACCTGTTTCTTCTTTACAGGGTTGTGACGCATCTGTGTTGTTGGACGACAGTGCAACAATAGTCTCAGAAAAGAAGTCAGGACCGAACCTGAACTCTCTTAGAGGATTCGAAGTTATAGACGAAATCAAGGCTAAATTGGAAGAACAATGCCCTCAAACTGTGTCTTGTGCTGACATTGTTGCCCTGGCTGCTCGCGGCTCCACTGTCCTGGTAACCAAAATCTCAAATTTTATTACACTAACTTTATAGCCATGAGAAAAACAGAGGTTTAAAAATTGTAATGGCTGTGATCGAATGAAACAGAGCGGGGGACCATCCTGGGAGCTTCCCCTGGGGAGGAGAGACTCCAAAACTGCCAGCCTCACTGGGTCAAACACAAATATCCCCCCACCAAATTCAACTCTACAAAACCTGATAACAATGTTCAATCGTCAAGGCCTTGATGAAGTAGACCTTGTTGCTCTCTCAGGTATGCATGCGGTAAATTTTCCATCATTTTTTCTTCATGGGATTTCTTCATTTTGTACTGTTAACATTTCAGGTGGCCATACAATTGGGGTGGCGAGGTGTGTGACCTTCAAGCAGAGGCTATACAACCAAAACGGAAACAACCAACCGGACGAGACACTGGAGAAGACCTACTATCTTGGCTTGAAATCAATCTGTCCAAAATCTGGAGGGGACAACAACATTTCGCCTCTGGACTTCAGCTCCCCTGCAAGATTTGACAATACCTACTTCAAGCTCCTTATATGGGGAAGAGGACTGCTCAATTCTGATGAAGTGCTTTTGACAGGGAATGTTGGGAAGACTATGGAGCTTGTTAAGATCTATGCTGAGGATGAAAATCTGTTCTTCAAGCAGTTTGCTAAATCCATGATCAAGATGGGGAATATCAGTCCTCTCACTGGTTTCAGTGGTGAAATTAGGAATAATTGTCATCGAGTTAATTAGAAGCTTACCATGACGGATGTTGTTAAGTGATTCCATAAAATTTGTCCTTTTTATTATTATTTTGTTAAGTTCGTTGAAGCTAACTATGCTTTTCTTCGGCAACGAATGAGTGAATTAATATATCTCTATTGTTAAAAATAAATGAATAAAATTTAATTTTTAGGTGTCTATGATTTGAAATATATTCAGAATAATAAAAATTAAAACATCTTTATATTTAAAAATATATATTAAAAAATAATTACTAGTTTATATTATGAAATATTAATAAAAAATTATTTTAAAATATTATAATTTTTAAATTATTTTGAACAACCTGTTCCGATTCAGTGGTATTAAATCTGAGTTAGAACTGTTCATCTCCAGTGAGTTACACATTCGAGTTTCACAAAATCTTTTTTCCTCTTCCTCCAATTAATCTTGTAAATAATTACAAATTGTTAAAAAAAAATAAAATTATTTTAATTAATTTTATAATATTTTATTAAAATATAATATAATTTTAAAATATTTTTATTTAATTTTTTACAATATAAACTAATAAATA